GGTTTTTAAGCCCTTAATAGTGACGTTCCAATGTGTCTTTTCCCCCTCAGCACCTTCTAATTTTGGTAATTAATCCATGGTTGCAAAAAACCTCCACTAGCCTGTCTAGCAAACAGGATGGATGAGCTTCCTGTACTTGAAATTTGCAAAGATCCTAAAATGCCAAGCGTTTCCTGATGTGTTGGGCTGGGAGCGTGACCTGCTCTGGCACAGAGCAAGAACAAAAATACCAGGCACCGAGGTGAGCCTCAAAAGCGTAGGAGAAGCACCTTTATGGGAGCTGACTTCACTCCTGCCAGAGATAAATGATGGCACAGGAAGGCCTCAATGCTTCCCACACTTGCAGTGCATCTGCCCTGACATGTGGGCAAAACCATGGAAAGCATCTCCCAGTTATTGCTTGCACAGACTACAGGAAGGCTATGGCTGGGTGGTGAGGCCCTGGCATAGGTTGCCCAGGGAAGTTGTGGATGCCCCACCCTGGAAGTACCAAGGCCAGGTTGGATGGAGTTCTGAGCACCCTGGTCTAGTGGAAGGTGTCCCTGCTCATGGCAGGGGGGTTGGAGTTGGGTGATCTTTAAGGTGCTTTCCAACCCAGGCCATTCTCTGATTCTATTCATTCTGTGACTTTAAAATGCTTTAGAAATGTTCAGATACTGTAATGGTGAAAGTAAAATAACTTTGCATTACCGAGTGAGGTTACAAGATAGAGAGCATCTCTTGTAGTGTGGTGGGACTCTGTGTAAGTAGGGGCCACAAAGAGGATTCATAAATAACAATTGTTAATTTAGGTTGGAAGGATTTAGTTACAAATTATCTTTCTCCAGTCCTCTCATTTTCATCAGTGGTCTAATCCCAACAGACTGCAAAGGCAAAATTAAACTTTTAGTTACACTTTCTAGGTTCAGCATTAAAAGCAATGTACTTACTTGAAAGGAAAGTAGTATAAAAATCTGTTTCTACTTGTGAAGATTGATTGCAGCAGAGAACATGCAGTACCCCTGATTCTCCAGATGAGCTCTGGTACCTGCTGAACTTGACTTGCTTTCTCTTACACACCTCAATATGCCTTTTACTGTTTGGTTTTGTTTGGGGGTTTGTTTGTTTGTTTGTTTTTAAAAATTATATTTGTTTTTTCTAATGTCAGGTTACCCTCTCATACAGTTTATAGTGACTTTCTGTTCTAAGATATGATTAAAAATGCTTTTGGTGAATTAGGCATGGCTGTGGAGGTATGTCAGTAGGAAAGCTTTCTTTTTTTTCCTGTCCCACAGAAAGCTCATCAACTGGATCTGCTTCTGCCGGTGTTGTAATTCTGCATTCTTTGACAACGTGATTTTTGAAAAGCTAACTAAAGATAGATGCTAAAAAAAAAAAAAAAAAAAAAGGAAAAGAGGAGGAGGAAAAGGAAAATTAGCAAAGCCCTAAGGTTAATTCTGGTCCATCTTAATAGGAACCGCAAATATTTTACCAGCTTTACCTGTTTAAGTTTTCTTTCCTGAAATAATTATCTTCATGATTGCACACAAAATACACATTTTTGACTTGGCTATGTATTTTAATTATGAAAAAAATGAACTATCTGTTTTTGAAAGGGGAGCACTTTCTTCTGCATAAAAATGTATTTTTGCTGTTGATGATACTGTGTATTACATGACAATTATCCCACCTCCTTAGTGCTCCCAGAAGCATACTGTACCTGTGTACCACTAATAACCTTTCAGTGCATGTGCACTTAGACCCTTTTCATAACTGTTGCGGTAAAAACAACAAAAAAAAATTACATAAACCTGTAAAAGAATTGCTTAGTGGCGTGGAGTGTTCTGGTTTTGAAGTATTCTGGTTTCTACCAAAACCCCAATTACTTAATTTTGTGCCCTTCCTGGCCGACGTAAATTATGCGAGCCTCACATCTCGACATCAGTGAATTGTGTAGCTCTGCGCACACATCAATTAATTTTGGCCCCATCAACTTCCCACCTTCTGTGTGCTCCTCGCCTCAAATCGCTTCTGCATCTCCCAGCCGCGAGCGGTTCATTTTGTGCAGCTGTATCTGCCTGAACCTGCAGCCCCACTTCAACTCTTCACCCTCCCCCACCTGCCTCTCCTCCTGCTCAGCCAAGACACCGCCTGCTCCTGCTGAATCCCTCCTCCTCCAGCTCCACAGCGAGGATCAATCCAGGTGCCTTCACCTTGTGCCTCGCCAGTGGGTCATCCAGAAAGAGCTCACTGTCCTCCAGTGAGCAAAAGCATCATGAGAGGTACCTTTTTCCCTTATTGCCGACCTCTACGTGCAGCTCAGTTCTGAGTCCTGAATTTATTTTGCCCGGCAAGGAGAAGCACCTCCTTGGGAGGAACGCAGAGACCAAAGACCTGAGAGGGCAACACGATGCCCTGCAAACCAGAGTGGCCTTGACTTGTTGCTGCTCTCCAGTTGCATTCTGAGCACCGGCAGCAGAGCAGCTCTGCAGCCCCTGTGGCCCTTCACCCAGGCTTTGTCCTCCAGTAACACAGGGTGGGTCGAGACAGGCTCCTTCCTCACCCTCTCCCTCTGCTTTTATTTCCTCAGGAGCACGGCGGGTTGGTGGCCTGCCCAAGGGACAAGGTGGTGACAGCAGAACAAGGAGCAATAGGGCTGTGCCCAGGGTCTCCCAGGGTCACCACGTCGGGAGGGCTGGTGGAGAGCAGCGCTCAGTTCACTCTGCTTTTGTCTCCGGGGGCTGGAGGGAATTTGACTCTTGTCTCAAGCTGAGGTTACAGAATATTTTTTCTCCTTTTTGTCTGTGTCAATATAAAGCAGCAAGCGCTGCTGAGACTGACTTGTGCTTTTTTTGTACAGTTCCCAGCACATCTGGCTGTCTTGGACAAGGTCCCTAGGCCTGATCGTAGCAAGAAAGTAATGATAGCGTGTTTAAAACTTGGGCCTCCCAGCTATGACTATATATAAAACACAAAGCTTTGGGGACAAACTGGGGGAAATACAGTTTTTAGTAGCTCACCAAAAAAAGCATGTTCTCTCTGTTACATCTGCAGTTGTGCTTTGCCAGCGTGGGTGCTCTGTCGTGTTAGGAGACTCGTCTCGGAACCAAAAGCCAGTGCGAGGCAATGGAGTGCTTGCCCCCTGCTCATTGGCACCAGGCATTTTTCCTGCCCCATTTGCCCAACAGCCCTGGTCATTCATCACTGGGAAGCTAAGCTGGCCCTAGAAAACGTTACAATTATCTGGGTGTGCTGATGAAACCTGCCTTGATTTAAAAGAGGCGCACCACTGTACTCACATGAACATCTCTCTCTTCTTCTAAATCATAGAATTAGCTATGGGCATTTCCTTAAGAGCATGCAGAACACAATTGCAGTATAATTCCTCTCCCTCCAAGCCTAGTCTTGAAACATGCAAATTTCTCTTTCAAGTACCTTGGCAAGAATTGGCAACATCCTCACACACACACACGATTTAGACACTGAATTACACACTGGTCGAGTTATCAGCAGTGAGCTGAGTTCTTTGGTGGATGTATCAGGAGTGCTCTGGACAGCTTGTTTCTTACTCTCTTTTGTAGGGATCTAGCACTGACCACTGCTTGGACAGGGTACAGGGATGGATACAGACATTTTGATCTTCCCAGCACATATAGTCCTCCTTCTATCCTTCCACAGCTCCTTGCAGCACACCACGGTGCCGTGTGCTTTCTGCTGAGCGTTTTCATGTTCTGTTTTAAAAATAACAAGACATCTCTTAACATTCAGGATACATTTTTCCACTCTGAAGCACCACAACAGTCTTTTTAAAGAAACTCTAGGAAGGGTGTTAACTTGATCAATGCTGTGCAGGAAGGAAAGCTCTTTCCTACTATTTTTTCAGCATGACTTTCACTGACATGATCAGGCTGGGAAAAGACTTATTGGCTGACAGCCCAGGACAGCCATGCAATATCTCTAGTCATCTGGAACTCAAACTACTCTGCCCAAGGGAGAACCATAACATAAAAACAATTTAGGTTACATGCTGAATCTTATAAACATTGTTCAGTTCTTAAAAAATAGTTTAAATACTATTTATGTGCATTCGCTGTGCACAGGATTATTGTGTTATGGGGGTTTTTTTCATATGTCAAGTAAGAAAGGCTGGGAGGGTTTTTACTTTTTTTGACTGTAGATGGTTTTCAAGAATCTTGGAGATTTTTTTTTATAAATATAGGGAAATGAGTTTCCTCTCTTCTCATGTATTTAAGAGCTTGGCTTCTCCTGTATATCGGATATAACTGTTTTATATATAGACAGTGTTTACTTTTTGACCCTGTCCAGAAAGCATAGAGTCACAGAAATGCTGGTTGGAGAGAGCTTCCAGAGGCCCTGTGATCCCCCTTCTGCACATGTGGGACTATTACCAGCACCTGATCAGGGAGAGCTTGGCTTCCTCTGGCTGAGCCATAAAACCCCTGGGGACATGAGCCATAAAACCCCAGCCTCTCCCATGACCTGCCCCGAGGCTGTGCTCCTCTTCTAGAAATTTTTTCCTTCCATCTCCCTTTTTGAAGCTGAGCATCATTTGCCTCTGTCTTATTTTGCATAAAAAAACCTGTCAGAGTAATCTGTTCTTCTGTAAGCACGTGCAGCTCTAATAATTTGGGATAAAGCAACGTGAATTCAGAATGCAAGCTTCACTTTGAAAACTCTTTTTTTCTCTGCATGATGTCTTGATGGAAGATCTGAACCTGGGATGTGTCCATTGCCACCTGTCCGTCTGCCAAGCCCTAACATTCCAGCACACCTTGCAACAAGTCTAAAAGTATTATTTTAGGAAAATAGTTATGGTTCCTTTATGATTCCTTTTTTCCATAATCCAGTATTTCACAAGCTGAGTAACCTTACTGTCTTTTCTTGTGCAGCTCCTTGCTTTTGCTTTTGAAATTGTTGGTTAATTTGGTGGTGGTGTTGGTTCTGAGTTGTGGTTTTTACCCTCTTGATGTGCTGTAACTTCTCCTGTGATTTCATTGCAGGCCTTGCTGAGACCAGGACGCATAGACAGAATTATCTACGTGCCGTTGCCAGACGCAGCCACTCGCAGGGAGATCTTCAAACTTCATTTTCGGTCCATGCCAGTGAGCGATGAAGTCTGCTTAGCTGAGCTCGTTGAGCACACACAGAAGTACTCAGGAGCAGAGGTAAAACTTGCTGGACAACCCTGCACAAAGCGGTGTTTTAAGTTGAACTCAAGTGTCATCCAGATACCATCCCCTGAGCCTTCTCCAAGTGGTGGTGGGAATTGTGAAAGGGAATGATTGAGAGATTTCTGTGTTTCTGTTCAGAGAGCAGAATGCAGTCTGGGGCTTTATTACTTCAAGATCTCCATCAGAGGATTGTTGCCAGGGGAAGTGTCTCTTCCAGGGTGAGCCTTAGGTGTGATCCCGGAAGGCCTCATGAAGGATGTGCTTCCAGGAGTGGAGGGAGGTGGAGGCAAGTGCTCCCAGCCTCCCCAGGCAGTTCACCTGGGTCTCCCCACATCCCCAGGGATCTTTTGAGTTTAGGATTGTGACTGAGAGCCTCAGGTGGAGTTATGAAACAGCGTGGGGGAACAACTGTAAGGCAGTCACTGGTCACTTTGAAGCTTGTGTTTTCCTATTCCATATAATCAGGACCTCACAGTGGCACTTAACTGTTACAGCTCATTGCTATTGGTTACCTTCTGACAGTGAATGTCAGACAGTTATTTCCTGTCCTGGGTAAAAGGAGAAACTTTCTCAGATGCTGCTGCCTGGCAGTTATAATAAGTATCAGTACATAAGTGGTCACCACTCTGCTCCCTGAATATTATTCATGTCAGTGTCTCATGAAAGGATGTTTCATTCTTTCCTCATTTTAATTAATTGAGAGTAATTATATTACTTCAAAAATTCAAAGAATGCTATTAAGATTGCCAAGTCAAGCCCTTAAAAGGTGCGAAATGCCAGAATTTCCACCTTCCTGTAAGCAGTCCTAGTGTATTATCGCAACATCTTTAATTACATAGTCACCTTCTGCTTTTTCCATAGCAGAGTGGAAAATGTGATGTGCTTGCCTTGGCTCCCTAGTTTTCAGTGTGCTGCTTACAAGGGCAGGGAAATGAGGTAAACTTTTGTCTGATGGTGGAGTGTTTGTGTGGTTCTTGCAATGCTGAAGGCCCTTCTCAATGGGCTGGTCATTGAGCATGACTCTGCAGGCAAGATTTCGGCTCATTTGGCTGTCACTCAAATGCTGGTATGATGTAAAATGCTGTGTTGCCTACTAAGTAACCTCTGGCTGCTGAGGGCACTGCTGAGTGTGCTCCAGGCCCATTTTGGGAAGCTGTGTCACAGGGGACGCCAAAGTTGAACCCACAAGGTCTTTTCTCCTCCCCAGCACGGGACAGGCTGTGCTCTGGGAAAGAGTGAATGAAAGCTGCGTAGGGAGCAAGGCTGGTTTGTGTAGCACATCTCTTTGCCACAGAATGTGGGCTATCCTAGTGGAAAAAGGCAACAGTAAAAAGGATTTCAGGCTTAAGTGTTGGTCTGAAAAACTGTTGCAGCTCTACTGCCCCCACACTTTGGAGTAGTGACCTGAAACGGTGCTGTGTTCATATCTGGGTGACAGTGGTACAGCTTTTGCTACCTTAGGGAAATTTATCTGCCTCTGGCTGAGCTACAAGCCTCCAAAAACATAAACATAAACATATCCCTCGTTGTGTATGGAAACTGTTGTCTTACCAGGCAACAACCCCAACGCTTGTATTTTAGAAATTCCGAGCATACGGGGATTTCCTTTGGATCTGGATCAGCTGAAGCTCTAGTGGTGAATTCCTGTGCCTGGTTGATAATGAGTCACAAATGTCTTGGTGCTGGCTTTGTACAGAACCAAAAATAAGTTAATGGGTCATTGAGTGCAGCTACACACTAGTTAGAGGGGGGGAGGGGGAAGAGCTGCCTGTTTCTAATACGGCATTTCTCGTGAATTTTGTTCTTTTGCATCATTCAAAGTATTACAATAACTGGGATGCAAAGAGTAAATACAGAAAAAGCCTCAGCCAGTGTTCCTTGGAAGAATACATAAGAAGTCTTGGCAGTTGGCACGCAGAGCGGCCAGTTTCATTAAAGCCCTTTCTTCCTAGTGTCTCCAGCTTCCCAGCTTTACAAATAGTTTCCGCTGCTGAATGGCAAGTTCCCATTCCACTGTTCCACCCTTTGTTTAGAAAAAGGAATGGAAAATGCTTGGTTTTGTGACTAGAAGATGCTGTATGAATAGGGAGTTGCGTGTAAAGATGCGTTGAATCATCCTGACATGAGCTGAATAAACAGCCAGTAAAGCGGATAGTTCAGTGAGCATCTGGCTTCCAACTTGGCCCTTTTTCAGATCAGATACTTGCATATATTCTTGCCTGTCATCACTTATGACCAGTTATCTCTGTTCACCTGCTGGATGTACGTTTCTCTTAATGAGTACCTTTAAAGATATATCAAGATAGCAAAATAGGGTGATTACTTCCCCCTGTTTCATGTGAGAGAAAATGGATGATAATTTATGAGGGTGAATTACAATTTCCTTCTCTCCTGTGTAAGTGAAGTTTAATGTAATAAAAAAAGGGCATTAGACAAGCAATGTCTGTGCAATTAGTTTTGAGGTCAAAGAAATTCCCAGCTTTCTAGAAATACTTGGATTTGAGTTTGATCTGCATTTCCAACCCCTTCTGGAGCGGTGCTGAGCAGCAGTGCTTGAAGGCTCTCCTTCAGGAATACTTCAATGTCTGTAAATCAGGAGAGAAATTGGTAGGCACAGAGTCCTTAAAGATGATAAAATGGTGAAAACAACAAACATCATGCTGCCTTGAAACTTTTATAAGGTTTAATCTAGTGCTTCTGCGTGTTATTTTGGGCAAAATTTCAGGAGGTCCAAATTTTATAAAACTGATGGGGTTTTTTAATGGTTTTATAAAATTAGGATGTCTTCACTCTGAGGTTGTTCACAATTTGATCACAGTTTTTTCCTAGAGCATTTTCACTACTGTACTTCATTCTGAGAAGTTTTATCTGTTTGATTTCTCACTAAGAGTAGGACTAATTAAAGGTGCGGCCACAGAAGTGTTTAAAAGCAATGTTTTAAAGTACAAGCAGTGTGAGTTCTTTTTTGCTTGTTTTCATGGTGCTGCTACAGCCATATAACCCATCTTTAGGAAAGACTGGCTTTCCACAAACTCAGGTGCTCCACATTTTTAATTTGGGCTTAGATGAGCAAGGGATGAAGCCAGTGTTTCCCCACTGTAAAAATATTTCTTTCCAGAAAGTGGGTGATAAAATAAACCTAGTAGAGTGAGGGACCCTCTTTTATTGTCTGAGCTCCAGTCAGATGATGTTTTTGTTAAAATTTAAAAGACAGCAGCAGAGAGGGAGTTTTAGGCGGGAACCGAAATCAAGTGTTGAGTTGTTTTGAGCTTGAAGTTGGTTCGAAGTAATAAAAAATTAAATAATCTGGATATGATGACAATATTCTTCAGACGAGTGTGCTTGTAGAAGGAAGATAATGGGACTGACTGCTTTTAAATTGGTGGAAAGCAGGTCATGGTGAAAGCCAAGGCTGGCATGGTTTCTATAGTATTATCAGTTTCCATGCTTACAGGACACAATAGTACAGCGGGAATCTTGGAACCTGTAAATCTTTCACTGGTTCTTAGGCGAAGTAGAACAGTTAATGTAAAAAATATCTTTCTCACTTTGCAATAACTCTCAATGGGAGCACAGAGAATGAAGGGGAAGAAAAGCAAGCTGATGAAGGTTTGCTCTGGCTCAAATAAAAGCAGATTTGATGCCAAAAAGGTCTTTGCAGCAGCACACTAGCTGCAATCAGCTCAAGCCTTTGACTCTTAAAATATCTATTCCAAAACATGCATGTTCTTGTTTACCAGATATTGACATATTTAAACTGTTAACTTCAATAAAAAAACACCCTGAACAACTAAAACCTCTCCAAATTCCTCTCTCTCTTACAGAGGAAGGTACTAAGTGCAAAAGGAATGAGGATGAATTCCATCGTAGGTGTACAGGAGGGTAAAGAGTCTTTTAAGACATTGGAAAAAATTTGTCTCTGTAGTAAAGAACATCTGCAGTAAAGGGGAAAGAGGGCTTAGATATAGGGGAAAAAAGGGCATTTAACAAATAAGGATGTTTTACCTTTTTTACATCTAGCTTTCCATGAAGGAAAAGATCTTCTAGACTTAAGGAAAAGGCTTTTTGCCTGGCATTTTTAAAGGGCAATGAATTCAATCCTGTATAGTAGCCTAAAAAAGAGACACCAGCTTTTTGGAGTGAAGGCATCAAAAAATTTCTGTTCAGTTATGCTAAATCCTGAGCGTGTTCAATTCCCACTGGATTCAGTGGCAATCGAAGGTGCTGAACACATCGTGCCTTGAGACTGGGCCATCAGATTTTGTACTTCTAAACTGCCACCAAGAAACACATATGTCACACCAGAAGTGTGTGATTTGAAAATACTCTTTGGTAGTTAAAGCGTCCGGGGCTGAAATGACTCTGGCCTGATGCTGCTGGACGACCTTTCCTTTTGAAGGCACAGCTTAGCTCCACACCAAGATGTGATCTCACAGTGAAATTATGGCTTTTCTGAGTGAGGAACACTGTCAAATTGAAATGCAGCAAGATTAAGGCCTCAGATGAACCCCTGATGTTTCTTTTGGAATGATGCAGAGGATCTGTTAATTTATATCACTCATTGAAAAGTGAACATTTTTGTGTGGGTGGGTGAGGAAAAGAGGCTCAGCCTTCATCCAGAATGGGTAATACGGGATCACCGCCTTCCTACACACATTTATCAGTGCTAAGGATGTGTTTGGCACAGGTGGCTGGAAGGTGAGGAAATACCTGGCATTCGGAATGTTTTCCGAATGTCAGTGTTTGGGATAAACGAGATGAATCACCGGAAAGGAAATAACTAACTGCACAGGACTTCCCATGGGATTCTGCTCGCTGCTGGTCTCACAAGAACCTCGTACGTGCAGAATGTGCTTGGGCAGATTGGGAACAAGGGCAGCACGAGCACCTGGGCATGTGGGTGATCGCTCATTGGCGTGGCAGTGCTGAAAACAAGACTTTGTGGTGTTACTCCATCTCTCCTTTTCCTCCAGACTTCCCTTTTCAGTCATTTT